CTAATGATTTAACTGGCGAGAAATCCATCGTCGCAAACAATTCAAATAATATAAAAAAACCTCCGAATCCTATTTCCAATAGCATTTTCGGATACAACAATACATATATTTTCGTTGTCCTCTTATTATTAAGAGAAAAAACAAGAACAACATCTATTCCATACCTGAAGATGTCTATAGGAACAGACGAAAGCTTGTAGTAAAAATAAGAACTAATGCGGCAGAAATTTATAGAAACAAGGATCTTTTCATTCATAACGGATTCGGAGGTTTTTTGTATATTATTTGAATTGTTTGCGACGATGGATTTCTCGCCAATTAAATCATTAACCTTTGCATTTGTTTTTGTGTGAATAATTCATGAACATATATAAATACATATATAGACACACACATACATATATATGCATTTATACATACATACACACAATTCCTATGTTGTGTAGTGTTCTTGTGTGTGGTTGTGAGTAGTATATTTGTTTTTGCCAATATGTGTATATATATATTCGTGCTCCGCAGATACCCGCGTGTGAGTGTGTGCGCATGCATGTTAGTGGTTCGACCACTGTATTTGTCCATTCTCTGTGCATGTTGTGTGTTTTTTGTGAGGGAGGATGGTTATGATCTATTTAATGCTGTTTTAAATTTTCTTATGAAGTCTTTTTTGTTGTATTTGTAGGTAAGAATAATGTCTGTTTGGTATATTGGCCTAATTTTCAGTTCACCCTGGTTACAATTATAGATGTGTTGTGATACAAAATGTTTTCTTTTGTCTTGTAATTCGATGTTGCTTTTGTGTTTGTAAACTCTGTTGTTGAGTTCTTGGCTGATACCTACATATGACTTGCATTTTGTGCATTTGAGTGAATAAATCACATTTTTGGAGTTGCAGTTTAAATTTTTATTTATTATAAATGTCGTTTTGGGTTTTTTTAAAATGTAGGAGTTTCCTTCTATATTGATGTCACAAACTCCACATCTTTTTCTTTTTTTTTTTTTGTATTTTGGGACTCCCTGTATTGTGTGTTGGTTAAATTTGGATGAGGTTAATGTATTTCTGGTTTTTAGATTGGCGTTTCCTTTTAATTATTTTGGTTGTTTTTAGTATATTTTTCAGTTTGTTTTCTTGCTAAATAGGTTTACATTTTTTTGTAATTTCTGTAAATAGTTATGCATTGTTCGACGTTACGTTTCTTTGGATTTCGTAGTTGGTCTAAAGTAATTTTTTTGAGAGTTCCCAATACTTGTTTATTAGTGCTGTGGGGTAGCCTCGTTTTTTAGAGTTCTAAGTAGTTCTAGGCAGTATATATGTATGTAGAGATAATACACATATACGCATACTGGTAAGAACACACATATATATATATACTGGTATAGCTCTTTGTGAAATGATATGCCGGAGGGGATGGTCTTTTTTATGGATTTTTACATTTCCATAAAAGTAGCCAGGTTGATAGTAATCTATAATCCTTTGAAATTTATATGATCCATTTAATAAGTTTATCGGTATGATTTTAAAGTTGGGGGGTGATGTTATTGGTTAACTTTTAAATTTATTATGATCGTCCAAAATGGCCTGCAATTTTGAGTGGTACTCATGTTTGTTTAAAATAACGAAATTATTAGTTTTATCAGCTCGTCGGATGACAATACTGTCGTTATATTTTAGTTGTGTAGCTGCTTTTATTAAAGGAGTGTTTATAATTGCATTCGGATTTTTCTGATAACAGTGTTTAATAGATTTGGCTTAAAGTAATACGCTTAAACCTACCGTTATGTCGCAAAGCATTCTTCTATGTCAACATAACAGAACATCATCTTTGATGGTGAATATCGTTGTTTAAATGTGCACATAACCACTCTGAAGATGGCTCATGGGAGCCGGAAGTTTAGATCAAGGAACAGCTTAATAAAAAATATCCAAAAATCGATAATTTCTGTCTGTATTTTCAACCGAAATTAAAGCAAATATATGGAGTTTAGAACGGCTCATGATCAAACATAATAGACATTCATTGTCTGTTATATTTAACAATATGTTTATATATATATATATATATATATATATATATATATATATATATATATATATATATATATATATGTAAGCAATATATATGTAAGCAAATATATGGATATAGATCCGACAGTATGAAGAAAAATATACTGAAAAAAAACAAACAAAATCCTAATATGCGATTATGCTGTTTTAATGTTTAATGTCAATTAGAACGAAATGTCCGACGTTGACATTAAATATTAAAACAGCATAATCGCATATTAGATTTTTGTTTGTTTTTCAGTATATTTTTTTTATATATATATATATATATATATATATATATATAGAGAGAGAGAGAGAGAGAGAGAGAGGAGAGAGAGGAGAGAGAGATAGATTAAACGAACTGTAAAATTTAGTTGTGCTTTGAGCGAATGCAACTACTTAAACCCTACAAAACCGTAAAAGCAAATCTCTGGTCCAAAGTTAAGATAGATAGATAGATAGATAGATAGATAGATAGATAGATAGATAGATAGATAGATAGATAGATAATAATGAATGGAGTCAGATAGATAGATAGATAGATAGATAATGAATGGAGTCAGATAGATAGATAGATAGATAGATAGATAGATAGATAGATAGATAGATAGATAGATAGATAGATAGATTGTCGAAAAGGACCATTACAATACATCTTTGTAACACTTAGTTGTGCCTTGAACGAATACAACTTCTGAAACCGGACAAACTTTTAAAACATTTAAAAATTAAAATAAATAAATCCTGAGAGAAGGACAGACAGAACGAGTAAAGTATCTTCCACATGTGTTTAGATATATGAGTTTATATATATATATATATATATATATATATATATATATATATAGTAAAAAAAAAAACAAGTAAGATATATAATCCGGTGTTCTTATTGATATTATTATTTTTACAAAACAGTGTTCAATGTAAATTTACAGAGGATAAATATTATAAATTAACTGACTTAGAAATATAGTTTCATGAAACCATTTTTTTAAATTAGTTAATATATATATATATATATATATATATATATATATATATATATATATATATATATATATATATATATATATATATATATATAAATTCAAATGCAATATGAATCAAATATAAATTCAAACATTCATAACATTAATTTCAAAAGAAGTGCTCGATACAAAAGTAGACCTATAATTCTTTACATTCGAACATACATAGTTCCACTACAAAAATGCATTAATGTTTCGATGCAACATAGAATCTCATCAGGCGGTGGTAAAATGATGATTATAAAAATTTTATTAATAATACTTATAAAATATCACTTGTCATCGCAAAAAAAGGACATAAAATATAGCCGGAAAAAGAAAAGAAAGGAAGACAAGATATAATCAGTAAAAAGAAAAAGAAAAAAGAAGAAAGAAAAATAAAAGATAAAAGAGAAGAAAGACCCAAAATATAATCTCCTCTCCGAAGTAAAAGAAGAGATAAAGATAAATGTGAATATGAGAATGACATAGGAACGAAAAAAGACAAGAGCAGACATGTGAATTGGTTTAACCAATGAAAATCATTTACGTAAGTAAGATGATTGATTTAAATTTAACCGGAAATCATCTCTACGCGATGAAAGATATTTTGGATACATTATAACGTCAGATAAACAGTTGGCGTTTTCATAGAAGAGGCAACAAATTTAAACGATAATTATACATAGCATGAAAATAAATGGAAACTTTAAGAATTAAATGAGAGAAAAACAGGAAACTAGTGATTTTCCAAGCGTAGCTTAGATGTGGCACAAATACCGAATTATAAAAGAGAAAGTTAGAAAATTAAATCGAAATAATAAACCAAAATAAGTTATATAAATTGTAAATAAATAAAAATAAAAGAACTTACCAAAATGAAAGGATACATAGATCAAATATATAAATCATATAAATAATAAACATTAAGATATTTTTCCATATAAAGTAAAATTAATAGAGTATAACTGTAATATATTACGTATATGTATGTTCTATATATATATATATATATATATATATATATATATATTTAAAAGAAAACCAGACAAGTTTAAGGTTCCATAAGGTTATAATTTATTTCCTCAGTGAATTTCTTGTTCCCTGGATCATCAGACCTCACTTCCTTATATATATATATATATATATATATATATATATATATATATAATTATTTACCCACTGCCCCACGCAAGGCCAAGTTTAAAGTGGGGTATCCGAGACCGTCGGCTCGGGCAAAATTTCCTTTGGACCTCGTAAAAAACGGAGTCAGTTTCCCGATAGGGAATACCCTCTGACATAAACCAGCTAAGTATATATATATATATATATATATATATATATATATATATATATATATATATATTTCTTTATTATACATTCGAACATACATATATTGCTTTTGAATTTGTAAGTCTGATGAATTGTATTGTGATTACGATTTCAATATAGTAAATTATAACCACTGAATATTAGTGCTTGACCCTTTTATATTATATTCTTGCTCTGTACTGTACATTGAACTTTACCTGGATTTTATTCTCTTGGAAACATATATATTGACCACTAATATCATATATATATATGTGTATGTGTGTGTGTGTGTGTGTGTGTGTGTGTGTGTGTGTGTGTGTGTGTGTGAGGTGCATATGAATATGTCACGTAAAAAGGTCAGTATTCGTCTGACGAGAGAAAGAAACCCTACCTCCTATCAACTTCCTGACCCAACGTCAAAACGCAGGTGTACTTCCTGACGGCAACGTCCTTTTTTTTATTTTATTCATTTTAGTTTACTTTTCAATTTCTTTTCTCAACCTGGATTTTATTACTTTTTATTCAACTGCTTGGTGCGAATTACGGCCTTTGAACAGAGATGAAGATAAAACCGACAAGAAACCATAAATTACAAGTAATAAACATACACCGCTCTGAATTGGGATCGCGAAAACATGAAAGGGAAAGAACTTCATTTTTTTTTTAAATTTTTTTTGGTTTTCTATCGATACTTGTGCTTATGGCTCAATGGTTAAAACGCGGGATATTAGAATGCTTCAACTTTCACCGAAGGAGATTCAGAAAAGCTGAAGAATTACCTCGGAACGTGTAGAAAATTTCAATTCTGATAGATTCACGCAGGGAAACTTTCTTTTTGTATTTTTTCTGTTTTCTTTATCCTTCTCTACTAAATTCTTTTTCTGTCTTTCTTTTTCCTTTTGTTTTTCTTACTTTCCTTGCATTTGTATTTTTCTCCAACTCTTCTTTCTTTCTTTCTTTCTTTCTTTCTTTCTTTCTTTCTTTATTTCATTAACTCTTTCTTTCTTAGACTCGCTTCTTTGTATTATCTTTATTACCTTTTCTTGTTCTTCAACTACTTCTTCTTTCATTTTTCTTTCTTTCTTTTTCTTTCTTTCTTTTTTTTGCACTTGCTTCTTTATATTATCTTTCTCCACTTCGTTTTCTTCTTCTGTTTCTCCTTTTTCTTTCTTTCTTTCTTTCTTTCTTTCTTTCTTCGCCCTCCTTTCTTTCATCTTTTGTACTTTTTCCACCTCTTGTTCTTCTTCATCATCTTTCTTTCTTTCTTTCTTTCTTAGTATTGCTCTTTCTTTCTTTTTTCATTCTTTCATTCTTCTTGCTTTCGTTTCTTTTTTTATTTTTTTATCCACCTCTTACTTCTTTACATTTCTTTTTTCATCTTTTTTACTTTTTCCACTTCTTGTTGTTCTTCTTCAACGTTCTTTCTTTCTTTCTTTCTTTCTTTCTTTCACGTCTTTTTTCTTTAATCACCTCTTCCTTCTTTCTTTCTTTTTTCTTTTTCTTCTCTTCCTCCTCTTCCTCCGCCTCCTTCTTCTTCTTTTTTCGTTGCTCTTGCAAATATTTATCACCCTCTCTTCTTTACCTGCTTTTCACCTTCTTATCTTCTCCTCACTCTCCTTTCTTGCTTTCTTTTTCTTGTCACTATGGACATTTCTTTCTTTTCTTTTTTTTTTTTGTCTCGTCACATTTTCTTTTCTCTTCTCATCGCCTTCTTTCTCACCCATGCCGATCCAGATTAGCGTGATGAAAAGCAATACCAATAATATGAATTAAAACTAGTAATAAAGTAATAACAATAATGCAGAGTGTATTGATCCATACTGTTGGAATAAAAAGCAACAATAATATGAAGGAACCTCAACTAGTAATAAAATGTCTGTTAATACTTGTGGAAAATCATCTAAATGTTATTTTCAATGAAGATATTAATGCACTAGATATGTTTACGCTAATTATTAATTTTATAATCTTTTTATTCTTCTTGTCTATTGTGATGTCGACAAAAGAAGTTATAAAAGATACGTAAATGAAAAATACCTCTTTTTTCGATATATATATATATTGTATGTAAATAGTCAATCCCAGCTGTTCATAGAGTTAATTGCATGTGATAATATGATATACAGTGGAACATCAGTTCACGAAGATAATTCGTTCCTGAAGGCCGTTCGTAGCCCGAAATGTTCGTAAACCGAATCTATTTTTCCAATAGGAATCAACGTAGAGAAAAAAAAAACAGTCAAAATACAATAAAATTGTCAAAGAAAAGCACGCTACAACACATGAATGTATACAACATGGCGGTCGACTCAAAAATGATTCCGTTCGGGTTAACTCTGTTCGGCAATGTTGTTCGAAAAACGAAATTTTGTTCGATAACCGAAGCACTTTTCATCTCGAATTTTCTGTTCAAAAACTGATTTGTTCCACATGTGAAACGTTCGAGAACCAAGCTGTATATACTTTTATATATCAGAAAAAGTTTAGGCAAATGAATGACAAAGTGGGAAAATTCTGTTTAGTGTGTTTTATTGATCTAGTGATTCTCAACCACCTTAAGTGTGACGCCAAATTATAATTGGATTCGAAATCCCTTCATAAATGTTCCTACTTATATTGGACTTCCGTTATATGAAGAAGAATTGGCCACCATTTCTATCGATTTTGATCGAGGGCACAAAATAAAACATTCGACGGGACCCATTGATACATTTGGAATTTCTATACAAAAGAAACTTGCCACCTTATCTAAAAAAAATGGCTTTATCAGTTTTACTGCAATTTTCTACTTCCTATTTATGTGAATCAGGCTCCTCAACCATAAATAACAAAAAATAAGAAGCGAGAAAGACTACGCTCAATTGAAGAAGAAAGGAAGTTCTCCTTTTTGTACATTCAACCAAACCTTGGAAGTAATCGCGAAAAAAAAACAAAAAAAAAATCACGGTACAGGTTTCAAAATAAATAAGCTGTACAAATAGTTGAATAGAAACATTGAAATAAACTAAGTTCATATTTGCGTGTGTATTTTTCTTAAATCAATGGTTTTATTTCATAACATTTAAATGTATGGTCTTTAAAATTTTTACTTAGTGTGCCGTGATATTTTCATTTGCATTTAGGTCTGTCATTGCTTAAAAAAGTTTAAGAAACACTGTTTTAGAAGGATTTCATCGCAGTAATGTTTTTGTTTGGTGGAATTATAAACTAAGTTGAGTAAACATCTTTTTCGAGTTTAATGCTTTAATTAATAGTTCCAACAAATTACATACGAAAAGCGTATATTCTTCAAAATATCTTCCCTCATCTTTTATTGCCTTTGCCAGAAATTCCACGCTGATATTCTTCTTAGTGGGCTGTACTTATCAAGATATTTTTTGTTAAGCTTTTTCCAGGGATTTTTTTCAATGTGTTGTTGTGTTTCGTTTTTAATCATTCCAAGCGCACCTAATATGACTGTTACTACATTATTATTATTATTATTATTATTATTATTATTAAGTTACTAAGTTTGCTGTGATATTTTCATTTGCACCTTGGGGTGCCATTGCTTAAAAAGTTTAATAAACACTATTCTAGAAGGATTTCATCGCTGTAATGTTTTTGTTTGGTGGAATTATAAAATAGGTTGAGTAAAAATCTTTTTCGCATTTAAAGCTTTAATTTATAGTTCCAACAAATTACATTCCTCAAAATATCTCCCATCATATTTTATTGCATTTGTCAACGTTGCGTCAGAAATTCCACACTGATACCACCATTTTAGAGCTGGTTTAGAGACAAAAAATATGTTGCACCCGTGTTCAACATCATTCATATTGTTAAACCTTAATCCGCGTAGGAAATGAGCCATGGCTTGGAAAAGGGGGTAATCTGATGGTGCAAGGTCTGGACTATGGGCAGGATGAGGCAGCACTTCCAAACCAAGATGACCTCAATTTTGTGCTTGCTCTCATTAGCAGTGTGTGTTCTGGGGCATTGTCATGCTATAGGAGAACGCTTCTTCGATTAACCAATGCCTAGAAACGGGATTTCAAAGTATCATATACTCCCTGCAGTTGTTGAGTATGAAGGTTAGCATTCATAAGATGGCCATCTGAGACAAACACCAGCTTGAAATTTCATGAGACACACGGAATGACCATCTTTTCAAAGCACTATTGGTTGACAATAGGTTCTGAAGCCTGTCCGGAACGAAGCAACTGATTTCTATTATTAGCATTACGAAAATAGATCTATTTTTCACCCCAGGTTTCAATTCGACGCCAAGAAGAGGCGTAAGGCCCTATCATCCCCAACAGAAGTATCACACGTTCGTTGACAGTTCGTGAGCTTTCCACATCATTAATTTCTTTTGACGTTGCCCTTGCACTCAGCCCTTTTTTTTCACAGGTAGCGTAAAATGGCTTTTAATTGCATTTTTTTCATCACTCATTATCAAAGGTTTAATATAAAGAATAAACAGTTAATGTTTATCTATCTAAGACATTTTTATGTTTACACATTCTTTTTTATAGATACAAATATTTAAGAAAATGCTGTTTTATAATAAACAGTATTAATAACATTTACCGGCCTGAACGTCCGAGAAATTTTCATAGAGAATATTCGTTCTCCGACAGGAATCGAACCTGTATCCTATACGGAACCGTCATTTAGCCTGGCGTGCCTTAACCGATCGAGCCACGGAGAATCGTTCGATTAACAAGGTCGATTTTACTGTTTTTAAACTTCAATCTTCCATGAAGCTCTCACGTACATTCATATCTGAACAATTTTTTCTCCGTGGCTCGATCGGTTAAGGCACGTCAGGCTAAATGACGGTTCCGAATACGATACAGGTTCGATTCCTGTCGGAGAACGAATATTCTGTATGAAAATTTCTTGAACATTCAGGCCGGTAAATGTCATTAATACTGTTTATTATAAAACAGAGCATTTACTTAAATATTTGTATCTATAAAAGAATGTATAAACATAAAAATGTCTTAAAAATAATTGTCCATTTCATAATTTTATATATATATATATATATATATATATATATACACAATTATTTATTCAAAAATTATAACATAAATATGTTATAAAATCACTACAAAAATAGCCATTTTGTTTCAGCACTTCTGGTGTTTTATCAAGCGATCATGTTGAACATCATAACTTGATAAGACACCAGAAGAGGGCACAAACTCACACTGAATTTTTTTTTTCCTTTGTTTTAAATTTAATTTAAATTTGAACAAGGGAATGACTCATCGGGTAGTTGGATAAGTATACTTCATTTTCATCAAAGGCGTCCCTCGGGGCATCCCCCCGCCACACACACACACTAATTTTTCCCTTTGATTTAAATTAAATTTAAATTTGGACAAGGGAATGTCTCCAATCAAAAATATGGAAGTAGAAATCAAGAAGATGGAGGTCACATCGGCAAGATCAAAATGAGTCAATATGGGCGTCAAGTTGAGTAAAAAATCACCAGTCAGTGGGTAGTGCCTTACAATGCATATTTGTTGCGACAATTCAACTGTCATATCAATGTTAAAATCTGCTCATCATCTCATTCAATCAAGTATTGCAACAAATACATATCAAAGGGCTCAGATCAAGCTGTTTTTACACAAGCTCCCCATTGAAAATTTTCCCCTTTGATTTAAATTAAATTTAAATTTGAACAAAGGAATGACTCCTATCCAAAATATAGAAGGAGAAAGCCAGAAGATGGAGGCCACATCGGCATGATCGTTGAGTAATACTGAAATTAATCATTTTTCTCCATAAATTATAATAATCAATCATCATTTACTTACAAAAGAAATGTGTGCCACGCAGCAAGGCGCGGGTAATTCAACTAGTATGTTATATATGAAAATAAAAAAAAAACAATTCAACAATCAATGACTGGACAACAAGCTGTATCTAATTAATGATATAAAGTGGATATACTAGTTGCCAAAAATCATCAGTGAAAATCCGAAAAACATTTGACTCAACCTAATATGACTCAATGACTCGACCTAATATGACTCAACCTAATATGTTGTAAGAGGAAGGAGAGATGTTAAAATGCAAGCGTTTGTCACAATTATTTGCCTGTAAAAAACACTGAAGATTTTGGAACGCAGAAATTTTTTAATTTAATTTTCTTTTTTAGACGAATCTGGATATACAGTATAGCTGATCTCATTCAGTTTCGCTATGTTTTTGATTTGGGTTTTATTTTTATGACATTTTAAATTTTTATTATTAAGTGTGATCACATTGTGATAAAAAATATTGCAATAAAGGCGAAATCTTGTAAAAGCCTGAACGCAAATTTACTGTAGATTATGTAGCAAACAAAATACTTTCTATACACTTTCGTCTTAGTAAATTGCTTTCTCTTTTAGAGTAGCATTTTCTAAATCAAAATTAAGGATAGACTGAAAATATACAGTCTCTTGTAACATGCCACGAAGAGATAAATGTTACAATTAACCCTATGGAAATAATTAAAAAAAAACTTTGAATACATGCATATTAATTATAAGTTTACGACTAGTAATAAATACTTTCGAAACCATCATGTGAGTGGATTGATATTTCATACACACACACACACACATACACACACACAAAAAAAAAAAAAAAAAAAAAAAACTAAATCATAATGCTCCACATTTTCAAAAGGCGAATGACTTTTATCTGTCTATGTTTCTGAGATGAGATATTGTAATTATGTATACTATTTAAACTGTTCGGACTGTTGTCCTCATCTTTGTTGCCATATTCACAACGTTTCGATCGTTGTAATGATCCGGCCTTTGTCAGGTGACTGGAATTTCGAACTAAACCCTTTATTATCTGTCTATATTTCTGAGATGAGGTATTATGTACACTACATTTTTCAGACTATTGTCTTCATCTTTGTCGCCATATTTATTACAACGTTTCAGCCTTTCAGTATCTGTCTATATTTCTGAGATGAGGTATTATGTACACTATTTACATTATTCGGGATATTGTCTTCATTAAGGTTACAACACATTTATTCTTATTTAATTAGTTATGTCAATTTACGAGACTAATTTTAAAGTTTCATTCGAATTACATGACAAAAATATAACCAAATATGGATAAATTTACAATAAAAATATTTATTTTTGTTTCAGAAGTAATGAGCCTCCAAACAGATTAAAAGATTACATTCATCAACTCCGAAGCGGTACACTGGTCAAATTTCATTAACCTCTCAGAAAATAGAGTTTATGAACCTGCGCTTGCATAAGGTTTTTCAAATAATGAACTACAAGAGGTTCTAATAAATGAAGTTTTTTTTTTTTTTTTTTTAAAGCGTTTCACCCCAAGCAAGGCGGGAAGCCACTAGGATGCAAGGGGTTACAGGAAATAGAAAGATCAGATAGGAGTGATAGAAGAAAGGATGAGGGTAGTGGATAGATCAAGGCAACTGGAGATGTCGATTGACATTACACTTGAATAGCTGGGGATTATAGCTCTCAGGGAAACTGGAATAGGGAAGGGAGTTCCACAGGCGAGAGGTGCGAGATATGAAGCTATTGGAGTAGAAGAGACGGCTACATTTAGGAGTTTCGACAGTGAGGGGGGTGAGAGCGGGATGCCAGCCTCGTAGGGCGCTGGAACTGTTGTCGAATTTATCTGCACATTCGCAAAGTGTGGAAAGAAAAGTTAAATCAAGTACTAAAGTTGCACAGATTGCATATGGACAAGAAGTAAGGCACAAGCACATTATTTCTAAAGCACTGTGCCATCAATTAGGAACTTCATTTACTTTAAAGGGAAATTATACTGAACAATTTAGCTATATTATGATGTAATATGTTATACAGTGCTGTATAATGTAAATTTTAAATATTTTGTTTTTTTAAATTTGTGCCTAGCAGTATTAAGGTGTTATATAAACTTTAATTATTTTTTTTATTAATTTTTACGTAACATATTGTCTAAGATCTTATACACTGATTAACCTTTTTGTAATCATTTACAATTATTTATACAGTTTTGTAAAAAAAATGCTTGTAGCGATTCACAATTAGAATTCTGTTTTGAATATGTTGAGGGGTTCTCCCCTTTTTACACAAATGGACTCACCCAGTATATATATATACTACGGCTACGTGAAGACCCGAGAGAGCAAGACCCAAGAGTCGAGTCCAGAGTGACAGAGTAAAAGGTTGTAGGTAACCGGAAGAGTGAGGTAACAGTGTTGTAGGAGTCACAGTGAGCGAGCACGTAGACTCAGTGAGAAGTCATACAGCGATACTTCAATACCAAAAAGTATATATATATATATATATATATATATATATATATATATATATATATATATATATTGCTACTAACCCGTATTCCTGGAACTACTAACCTGCTTTACAAGTTTGTATTATTACGTTAATACATTATTATCGTATATTCATTCCTGGCGTTTGTTATTTATTGGTACCGGATTTCAACACGGAATCCACGACAGAATCTATTTTCAATTCAATGTATCTAATAAAAAAACATCAACTTTATTAGGATTTATTCTTGAAATAGTAAAATTTTTGAAGTTAGTTTGTTAGCAAAAAAAAAAAAAATACAAAAATTAGACATTTCTATAAATTTCTCAGATAATTTTTGAAAGTAAATATTCAAAAATTAGTAAAAGCTATAAATATAATTATTGGTACCTGTACTTACCACATCAAACTCCAGATTTTACATTGAATACAATGCTAATTCTCTTAATAAAAAGTGAAAAATCTATCTAATGACAAAAATAGATGATAAGTTCTCAAAATTGATGTCCGACCAATGCAGTTGTTGAAAGCCCTCAAGGAACCATTTTGATATTATGCAAATTAGATAACCGTATATCATTAATACCCATCAGGAAAAGAAAACAATACCTGTCAAAGAGGGGAGGAGCTACTTTGTTGGCCAACGGCCAGCTAGCTACAGGTAACTTCTGAATAAAAACAGATGACGTCAAATTGATGAGTAGCGACTCTTTAACGATTAACATTGAGCTTCTGATGGATGTGTCTAATACACAGAATATGGCCATCATGAGAACGCCTACGGAAAGTCGATGGCAAGCAGAAGAATCTTATTAAATATTCAAGATGGTAGCCATATAATAAAATATTCAAGATGGTAGCCGTATAAGCAATTATTCAATATATTAGCCATATAATTGCATCTATCTCACAGTAATTTTCTCATTAAATTTCTTTTCTTTAAGTTTAAAAAATATATTTTTCGGAATTGAATATCAGACATTATTGGCCACGGAAATATACTTACAAGCACCGTATTTTCTTTTAAGTTCTTTTCTTCATTCGTCAAAGTGTGTTGTTTTTTAATGGTCTGGGAATTATTGTAGTGAATGAAATAAAAGTCCATGCAGGCTCTCCCTATCAGCAGTATTTTAAATACTTTAAGTGCTGCTGAGTATATATGATATAGAAAGTATTTTTAATAAAAAAAAAAAGAAGGATAATATATTTTAATTGTATAAGAAAAAATAATTAAGTTTTTAGAATTGTGTAGAAATTAATATCGAAATTGTTTTAATAATAGTTAATATTAAACCTTTCCCGGCGTAGACGTGTATATACATTTTTGCCGTAAGTGTCTTTTTCACACACGGACGAATAAACATGTCCAAAATATAACATAATGTCATCAATGTTTGATTAACAAAAAATTTTGTGGATATTTTCGAATATTTCGATGTCCCATCGCATCAGCTTCCGAATATATATATATATATATATATATATATATATATATATATATATATATATATATATACAACGGGTGTTGCGGCAAAATTGTCCAAATTGTGTTACAGCATCCCACAATCGTCTATCCCAGAAAATATTTAACATCTTAAAAAACACTAAATTAATTGAGTTTCTTTTTCCAGGTTTTCAGATAAGACATTTAGCCATCTTGATACCATTTCTCGTAAGAATCAGTGAAAACCATTTAAGTTAAGTTATTGTCATATCGGACATAAATGAATGGAGTCGTCCGTTTATGTAAATAAGCGGAGTTAAGAGAAGTTGTGTAGAGTTAGCATTAGGTCTTAGCCGCGCGTTAAGCTCTTAATGCTTGTCAAACTCTCTGCCTTCGGGCAGACAGGAACCCAGATGAGGCTATGCCGAAGGGCAGATTCTCGTCTGGGGAGGTAGACAAACCCGACCCCGTTATTACGGGGCCTGCGGGGAATTTTTGCCCGGACCTACGGGCTCGGAAAAACGCAGGCAAAACCGGTCTTGTGCCACATCTCGCTCTGTGAGCATTAGGTCAATTGCTAAGTGTACCTTGCTGTAATAAACCTTCTATTTCATTACTTTCGAACGAGTTTGTCTTCCTTATTTATTTCCCTCTGTTCTCTCGAAACCATGAGATACAACAGTTGGCGACGAACGATTCGAGATACAACAGTAACCTCTTGCATATTAAACCGGCCTTGTGCTACATTCCTCTCTGTTTGGTGTTCGAGTAAATACCGAGTTAGTATTAGGTCAATTGCTAACTGTACCTTCATGTAGTAAAACCTTCTATTTCATTACTTACCCACGAGTTTGTCTTCCTTATCTATTCCTCTTTGTTATATCGATA